GCTGTCACTTAACACTGTCACTCTGCAGCTGTGCTTCAGGAACCAGCTGAACTTCAGGAATTATGCTTCTTAYGTAGAAGTCATGTGGTGAAGATGGCTTAAGCCGCCTTCATTTTGTTAAATTCTTGAACTTACTCATGCTAATCTCACCACAAATTATTAGCTGTCTTTATTCCTAGAAGTGTGGCTGTCCCATTTTAGASTCCAGAGAGCAGAGAATGTTTTTCCTGGAGCCAAGATCTAAAAATGCTTTCAGCTTTGAAAGAGCCTCTAGTATTTGACAAAGTAAATTTATACTTAAACAAGCTAAATATTGCTACTTTTAAGCACAAATATGGATGGTGTGGAGAGACGTGAAATTTTGTTGGGATACAAGTGTGAGCCCAGAGCTGATGGGATACAACTTCCTGACAGAAGTTACACTGGCTGAGAATCCGATGCTCACACTCAGTTGACATCACTGGAAGATGCACAAATGAAGTGAAAGTCCTGTGTGGCCTTTAAGCTTCTGTTCCTGTGGTACATGGGGTTCTATAATACACAGAAGAAAGGAAGCACTCACTTTTCTGGGTAATGGTTACAGAATGGGTGTCAGATTTATTCCAGTCTGCTCTGTCTGGGGAATGTGTCCATGACTTTAGTGGAGTGCTATGCATGCACAACGAGGAGACTTTTTGGATGGAGATTGTAGTGCAGGACTCGTTAACTGATGATAGTGGATAATTTTGAATGAGATACACACACTTGCTGCTCACCAAGATCATAGAAATAACTTGAGGGAATACGCTCACCAAAGTGAGATGTTCTCTAAAACACTTGCTAACAGGTTACTTATGTTCCTGTATGCCTGAAGTAGTAGCTTTTTCTCCAAATCAAACAGAAAATTAGATTGTCTTCTTTTTTAATTATATGAGGAGTAACTGTGAAAATTGTTTGGATTACATGGATGTTAGGTAAGGGTCACCAGTGGAAAATCAGACTCAGTGCTTTGTGTGTTTGTCTGAAGGAAGTGGCCTTTCAATTTGCTTTTTGGGTTCCCCTGAGGTCTTGTCTGAAACTGTATCAAGAATATAGTTACTCATTCTCTACCACACAGAAAAATCGCTCAGTGGAGTTCCCTGTTGGTGTGTCTCCTCGGCTGTTTGTCATTTTAGGTGCAGCTCTGTGGGACAGGAGCTGTCGGTCAGTGCAGCAGAGCCTGCAGACACTGCTGGAATAGAGAGAGCAGCTTTCCTTCCACTCTGCTCTTTGGGTGTGACTGAGGGCTGAGCTGGTAGAGAACTGTCTTGCTTTTCTAGGTGAACCCAGTGAAACAGATGGATTGCATGAGGAGTCCTGCATTGCTCTGGCTGGCTCCCAGTGTGGCTGGATACATCAGAAATTCCAGAGCTTCTCAGCTCTCAGCCCTATCTATGTGTCCTACAGCACCAGTCTCCAGGGAACTGAGGTTACTAGATGGGAGGATATGAGTTGCATTAAAAAGTCTCAGTCCCCAGGAGTTTAGGAGTGATAGCAGAATAAATACTTAAAACTTGCTTTCATGTTACATGGCATGGGACTTGCTCTTCCTTGCAGATGACTTCTCCAGCGCTGTTTGGATGTGCCTGCTGCTCTGTGATTGCTCCTAAAGCCTTGATTTGACAGCAGCCTCTGGCGTGCTGTGGGCCAGCAGATCTGCATTGCAACAGGCCCGCCAGTCTTCCTGCAGAGAGTTAAAGGAGTTTTGGAGAAAACGAGTGAGTCAAAAAATTTGCCATTCTCTTCTGTGGCAGTTCCCAGGATTCCAAATGTCCCTTGTCTCTGGCACAGGGGGCAGCAGGCTGGGGAGGAAAGCAGCACAAGTTATGTTGTCTTGCCAGTGCTTGAAACTGCTGATATTAGGTATTATATGTGTAGGTTTTTGAGAGGAGAGTTGTAGGTGAGGGAAAAGCATCACTGTTAAGTGAACTGGAGGGATAGTACTTTGACCTCTTAGAACACAGAGCAGGCTGAGGAGAAGGAATATGATTAAAAGAAAGRAAATCCTCTTAATCTGGGTGATGTCAGCTTGTCATTGTCAGTTTGGTAGTTATGTAGCTGCAAGCCTGCTGCTGCCTGCTGCACGAGGAGCAGATCATTAATTAAAAGGCCTGGTAGAGTGCAGCCTGCTCAGGCCTTTGAGGTGCTGACAAACTGATACCACCCAGCATAACTGAGGAGAGCATGTCCAACATGAGGTACGGTTCTAAGAACTGACAAACCTATTATCCAGTGTGTCATCCTTGAAGTCAACATGTGGCATACATGCTGAAACCTAAAACTCCTTGTTCTGCCTCCCTAGCRGCCTCATACATGTATCCAGCTTCTTAGTGTGAGCCACAAAGTGAGAATCTTTGTAACCGGGGTTGAGAGAGTTTTGGGGTTCCCTAGGCAAGCTGGCTTTGCAGCAGTCCTGTGCCTTTTGACTTAAGAAGTACTGGAGCACCTGGGTAATGATGCTGGGCATGGGAAGGGGGAGCAGCAGGTATACTGCTAAGGTGTATAAATCTCTGGCAAGACTGAAAGCCTGTTTTGAGATGCAAAGATGTGGGTCAGAGAGTGTAGGACTGAGTTAGGTAAGAGAATATGAGAACATACTCACTATATGGCTGCTAAACAGGAAGCAAGAAAGGATTTCACTGTTTTTGGCTTGAGGAATGAAGCAAGGAGTGATGGACAAGATAGAAAAGAATCTGGTTGGGCTTTGATATAGTTTGTACAATGTACTCTCAGCTTGCAATTTATCCCAGCCCAGATTGTGAATGTTCAGTAGTGCTTACAAGCACCTGATAGTCGCTGCCCAGAGCACTGACAACTATCCTCTTCTTATTTGTCATGCATATTTGCAGATTTAGTAATTTTATTTTGGAGAATACAGCACTTAACTGTCCTGTGAAACAATGCATCTCTTCTGCCATTCTCATGGAGATGTGATGCAATGATATCACTTCCTAGTGAGTGACTGGTGAATCATTTTGTTGGTGTTCACAAGTCTCTTCTTTGCTAATAGTTTCTGCGCTGGTCTTAATATAATTTGCAAAAGCAAAAATCATAATTTCTGGGAATTTTTTCTTTAACTTTTTGTTAAAGAGCCAATACTGCTCTTTTTTGTCACATACCATACTGAACCCAAGCTCCATGCTCTCCCCAGTATACTTGTTTAGCTCAAGGTATTCACACCTATCCAGTCAATCCCTCTCTGGAAGTGGGAAGCTTGCTCACAGTAGGGTGGGAGAGGGAGGGCACTTACTTTTCTCACAGGCTCAGGTGGGTGGTTTAAATTTAATTTAAAGTTTAAAGCTCTCCTGTGGATCTGATAACCTCTTACCTGGGAGAAGAAGCACTCYGAGCTGTCATGGCTGGGTGTGCAAAGGCTCCTCTACTAGTTGAGAGCCTCTGATATTTTATTGCCTGCCTAGAAGGTGTGAGTGGTTGTTCATCTCCATCAGCTTTGCACCTCAAGTGGTGTAAAGAAGGCAGAAATCAGGAGTAAGTAGGTCCCCCAGAAATTCCTTGTCTTGGGGAGAAGAGATGGCAGCCTGTGTGGCTGTGTTGAGGTAATGTGCAAGGCCCTTGACATCTTATGCCCTGGCAAGGGTTKTTTCCTGGGGAAAAAAGAATTGCTTGTGGTGTGAATATGATCCTGTGAAGGTAAGGGCACTTGTTCTTTATTCCATTTTTTTATTACTAGGTTTGTTCTTGGCAAAGCCTGAAGCTGCTTGAGTTGTCTTTAAGACAGCACTAATCTTTTGGCAACTGCAGTGTCAAGGAATGGCATGAGAAGTGCAGAAGTGCCTTTGCACATTTCCTTGGTTGTTGGGCCAAGTGTCCCTATGTCACACACATCCCTCCTGTTTCTCTAAGCAAGCACACAACGTGCTCCAGCAAGCCCACTGCTGCCCTCCGAGGGTGTTTCTGTGTTAATTTGTACTGCCCGTTGYGCCTTTCCTTTTCTCTGTGATACATTGCACGTTGCCAGCTGGTATTTGTAACATGTTCCATAGAATTCTAAAATGAAACTTCTTTGGAGGAGGTCAGCATGCTGTGCGGGACACATCCTGTGTGTGGGCTGCATCTGACAGATTCCTGTCACTGTTACCCAACAGGCTTGTCAGAAACGACAGCACCTGCCCATGGACTGCCCTAACACAGYGATACCAGCCAAAATGGGAAGTGTTAACAGTATTGTTTGCCCCCGTGTGCTCATATTTGTAGTCCCTCTGCAGTAGGAGAGATGCTGTGTAAATATCTGAATGGATAGTTACATGTTTTGGAATAATGATACCCGGCRCCATTCCGTTCTGAGCAGTCAAGGTACAATTATTGCAGTGGAAAACAGCACAGGTTGCTTAAGAGTTTTGCAGTTATCAGTGACTTTCCTAGCCACAGACAGGTAAGGAGGTAACCTGTCTAAAAGTTTTGTCATTCTGGAAACGGTGCCAGAGATCAGATCTTCCTGATCCATTGCTGAGAAGATCTGTTCTCACACTTATGCCTACATGCTAGAGACTTTTCTGTTACATTTCTTTTTTGTGATGGATGAAATCACTTTTTTATATCATTATATAAGGTTGTTTGACTCTTTCTGCCTGTGTTGCAGCCACTAGTGTATTTCACATGTGTTTTTAGTGCTCCATAGCAGTGCCTAGTAGGGATTCTCAAAATAGCCATTGCTTCACCCTCTCTCTAAGCTTGTCTGCATTCCAAGCCACCTAATTTCCATGTGGTCCACTATTAGCCTTYCATTATAAATTATCTGATCTCTTAATTCACAGCCTAATTTTGCTTACTCTATTCAGTGGAACCACTGACCACTGAGTTTAGCAGATCCAGGCTAAAGTCACACTTGTGAGAATTTCCTGGTTGCGTGATTTCTACTTATTTTGCAAATTTGGCAAGGCWTTTTGGTTCCATGCTGCCTTGATTTCAAATACATGACCTTGAATTTGATTTAGAATTAATCTAGTAGAAGCGGGAGAATTTGAAGCTGCGTGAGGCTTCCTGTATGGTACTCTTCTGCAAGAAGAGACTCTTACTTGAAGTTAGCTTAATCCTCACTTTATTGTTGTTACTAGTCAAATTAATTGCTGTCTTTGTCAGAGATAATAAACCCTTTGCAAATCTGATAATATTTACTTAGGTGTTTTCATTTCTTGAAAGGTGAAGATGTGTAAAAAAAAAAGGAATTTTGGTGGCAGTTTGTTGGAATGAGGAATTGAAGTGCATTTTAGTCATGTACATGAATCTAYAGAACATAATCTGAAATCTTATATGTCTTTTGAGGTTTGCACTTGTTCCACTTGTGTCTTGTCTCTTTTTCTAGTCATGTTCTCAAAAATGTCACAGTAGCCACAATGGAGCATTTCTCCCATTCCCACCTGTGCTCTGTGATGTGAAAAAATAATGTTAGTACACAGAGGTCTTGACTTCCTCTTGAATACATCTGTATGATTTTATTGTGCAGTCCACTGTGCCTGTGATCTGTCTGAGAGCAGCTGGCCATGAGCATTGCCAAGGTATTGCACTGGGCTGCTGATTATTTTATCTATTTCAGAAAACTTGAAAAACTGCATCCATGAAAAAAACACTTGCAAACCACAGCCTCACCATGAAGGCATTAGGGCAGCCATGGCTATACCAAGTGTCTTAACCAGAGTCTTTCACTCTCTGACAAATCTTTTCTTCTTGAAGGTAACTGTGGGTGGTCTTCCTTTGTCCAATTTCTGTAAATTTGGTACATCACTTTCTAGTTATGCAGCTGATTCTTGTGTTTATGTGAATGGCTATTTAAAAAAAAGGAAAGATCAGATGTTTGTTGTTTCATTTCAGCATAAATCAAACTTTGTACTCACATAGCAATTCTAGTTTAGCCCCAGGAATAGCTTTAGTATTGCTAAGTGTCTGGAGAGTATTGACTACAGAGACATGATTTTAAGCAGGCTATAATAGTTTCTACAGCTGTTAACAGTTCTCAGAAGAAAGGCAGTATTATTCGTCAGTGTTTAAAATGTGCATGACTTGCATTGCACAGAAGTCAGATTGGGAGAATGTCAGAATTTTTTTTTCTGAAATTCTGCCAGGAAAGTCTTCAATAACTGGAGAAATTCTTTTCACTGGTGAAATCAACATGCAGCACATTGTGTTATTATACTTGCTTATAGCTCACCATGAAAGTTGTCTTTGTATGCGTGGATGTACGGCTTGTACTGTTTTGTTTTTATTTATTCTGCATTCTTTATTATAATGTTCTTTCCCTTTTTTTCCAGACCAGAAAGATTGTTATTGAGCCTTCCACAAAGCTGAAATAATGCTGTGTGTTAAAAAAATGTTAACAATTTGAAGAAGTTATAAAAATTTATAAGTTGACTGAATACTTTGGAAATTTCTGCATATTTTAATATAAATAGGTAATGCAAATGTTTGTTCTTTGCATTTAGAGGTGGGTCTCTGTTTTCTAAAGGTCTTGTATATAAATTTGATTCTTAAAATTACATTAGAACAAAGCCAGTGATTTTTTCAGATTGTATAATAGGAAAAATGTATTCGCTAAAGATGCAGAACATATGTGGTTGCCTCTGAATATCATATAGTCATGAAATTCAACATAAATAGCATCAGTTGTTTGAATGACTTCCTTAAGTGCATTTAGGGAGCTTCCTCTTGCAGTCAGCTGAGGTCCTTCCATTCAGTTCTGTGGGTCCTGGATTAGCCCAMAAAGAAAAGACCATGTTGCAGTTAATGGAGAGATAAAATTAGATGATTTCTTTGTAGACAATGTGAAGTTTCAGACTGTGCTGGTAGAACTTACATAGAAATTCAGTCACATAAAATCTAAGAAATCTTAGAAAATTATGGTACGTCAGATTAATTTGGTGTCAGTGAAGCACTGGAACTTTATTCATAACTGAAATCATAATAACAGGAGAAGTGAGTCCAAAACAAAGAAATGAAGAGTAGAAAGAGGTKAAAGGGAAGAGGTGAGTGACAATACTGACAGATGGGCAAGGACCTAAATGATGATAACACAGTTTTAATGCCTAGTCCAAAAACATAACAGTTCAAATGTTATGGTCCACTGGAGGTGCTGGCTGGGTTAATATCTGAAAAGACAGACATCAGGTAGCTTTTTGGGGGGTTGGAGGAGAGCAAAGTAGGCTTTGGGTGGTTGTACAGAGCTTGYCTGTTTGTAAAGTTTCCCTGGAGGAGAAAGGATGCCTGATACTCCAATGCAATTTCTTCTTGACTGTGGTAGGAACTGGGAGTGGACCTGGAGAGAGCTGCAGCTACTGAGGTCCCCTGGCCTGCACACTGTGTGCAGCCTGTCTGCTTTGTCTGTGCTCTGGGGTCCCTCTTCCTGCTTGGTTCCATCTGAAAGGAATCTCCTCTGTGCTTGGGGACAGCACAGGAAGTGGGATGTTCTGGCTTCAGAAGCACTTGAACACTGATATAACAGGACAGGGCAGAGGGAGTACTCAGAATGTGCTGTTTCATGTTACAGGTGCTGGCAGCATGTGGAGCTGAGAACAGTGAAAGCCCAAAGGAGTAGGGCACCAGAGGAGGTCATCAGGAGCAGTCATGCCTGATAAACCCTCCAGGAAGGAGAAAGGGAGAATGATTGATTGATTGATTGATTCCAAGTTTCTGTAGGTAAAGTTGGTGCCTATCTGAAATCTACTGTGATTTAGTATTTCATGATGGATTCCCTCCTGACATACTTCCTGTGAAATTTTGATAGGGCTAGAAGCACTTTGTAGCACCACTTCCATTTACAAGTGTGCAAAACTAGTGCACAACATTCCCAGGCTTTTGATTGTGCAGTTTTTATAGATCTGTTTCTCAAGACATCCTGGAACGTGCTTTGGTGAGTTGGAAGGCTTTCTTGGTCATTGACACCAGAGCTATGAAATAACATTGCTGCTAGCTGGCAGTCTGCTCTGTAGAAAGCTGCTTATAATTTTCAAAGACTGCTTTCCAAATGGARTCACTATGGTAAATGAACCCATTAAAGCTTACACTCACAAAACTGAATTCAGTTCAGGAGAATTGATTCTTCAGTCTTTTGTGAGTCACTTCCACTGTAACATTCTCTGGAATCATTCATTTTTGAGTGTTTAAAATGACTGATTGGTAATGCGGAGTTATCATAGATTCAGAGGTATTTCCATGTTCCCTGTCAATGTGCCACTTCATACCATATTCTCACAGAGACTGTTATATAAAAGTACTATTTTACAGAGCGGGGGCACAGAGAGAATAAATGATGTAGATAAGTCTGTGTAAAGAAATATGTTGCAGAACTGCTGATTCTAGGTTTCCTCATGTTACAGTGTTTAGCCTCTGGACYAGCTCTCTTGTTCTCTAGCAAAGGTTCATCACCTTTGTGCTGCAGCTCTTGCTCATCCCATCCAGCATGGACAAAAAGGTTGCACAATGTTCAGGTGAGTCTGAAAGCTGTTTGGATTCTTAGCTTTAGTGACAGCGTTATTTCTAATAAAGTGGTGGTTAGCTGAGACAAGTGTATTTAGTGCCTAAGTAGAGCATGTTTCTGTATGGCACTACTTTGGAAACAAGGAAAGCAAAAAATGTATGGTGAGGTTGTTGTCAAGAACCGTTCTTGCTACAAGCAATGGGCACARCACTTTGGCTTTTAAAGTTTGCTAAAATTATTTGCTGGTAAGATTCTGGCTTGCGAAAGGTGATAAGATGCACCAGCGCAACACAGACATCATTGCTACATCTTGTCAGTAGTTGTGAAGATACATGTTAACAACGTTAAGATTTCCCAGGCCTCTTTCAAAATGGCTGTATTGCCTCTAAGTGCACCCGTTGTCTGTCCACGAGCAGTTGGCCTTAACTGCTTCCAAGCAGGATCTCCTTGAAACCTCCTAGATAACTGGAAGTCTGAACGGATCTGTACTTACTCTACGGCAACCCACAGAAGTCTGAAGGATCTCTGCTTAGAAACTGGCCATGTTCAATCTGTAAAGAATGTAGATTTTTTGTTGTTGGGGAAAGGCTGAAGAGGGCAATAGGTGCAGGATGTGGAGGGAAGAAGCAGTGCCATGACCCTACAGCATTTCTGCATGTTGAGTCAGGGAGTGACATTTAAACAATTCTCACTGCACCCAATATGAAAAATTATGGTGCAGATCATTTTGCTGGCTGTGCTCTCAGAGAGATGAAGAGGAAAAAGATCAAGGCATCTGTYGATAGGTAGCCTCTTCTGTGCTTTAGATATTGGGGAGCTTACCAGCAATTGGGGGAGCTTACCAGCAAGCCAAATGGGTCTTTAATACCTCTTTTTTCTTGGTTTTTTTTTCTTTCTTTGAGGTAATGAGTGGCTCCGGACTTTCCATCTTTAGAGCTGGTGGTTTCCACACCACAGTGATTCAGCAAGCATGAACTCTTGACCAAATCCCAGTTTGTTTCCTGGTTTTGTTTTTCTAAAATATTTTACATTTATCAGGGCATAAAGGCCTCCCTACAATGTGACAGCATAAGGAGAGCCATAGTCCTTTCACTGGCTAACTCTGAAAGGACAGCTCACTATTCTTCTGAAAACTTTGCAACTGAAGCAGTTAAAAGGARTCACTGGATTTTGACCTAAACTCTGACTGAATTCTTACGTGCTCCTGGCTTTTTGATGCTGTGTTTTTATGTGGAATTTCCTTTGAGGGTTAATAAGGTCTGATTTTCGTTTGAGAAGTATGCCCTGCCTGAAATGTTCTAAGTTTAATCAGTGTACTACTGCATGGGAAAATCATGTACATTTGTTTACTTCTGAGATAAATAGATTAGTATTGCCAATGATTTCAGGGGATAGTAGGCTGTTAAAATAACATGGAGGGCCTTGTTCCTTTCCTTGCTGGATGTGATTGGTGACTGCATTCTCTTGGGTGCCTGTTTAGGGAAATGATGGTGGTTATCCCTGTTACCTTGTAAGGGGTACCCTCAGTAAGGACTTAGAATAGCTCAGCTCTGGAGTTTTAAACACCAAGAGAGATGATAGACAGGAAATCCATAGCCTGGGAAAGCTACAAATGAAAGAAATTACACTCTGAAAATTAAATCCATGAAATGTTCTTTCTAAATTTTGTATATTTACATAGATGCTTTATCCCAAATGTTACATTGTATGAATAGACAAAATATTGCTGTAAATAGATTTGAAGCCTGAGATAGAAACCTATTGGTTTACTTCTGTGAAAACACACCATTAGTCTCTTCACCCCTGTGTTATCTTGTCACTTAGTGTTTCTTTAATGACTAGCCCAGGTTGAATGTCTTGTTCTGGAGCTGGAAGCAGTTGCCAGACAGTGTGTGTAAGACACTCTATGATATCCCATATTCTAGTGTATGGTTTTCTTCTGAACAGGGCAAGATGAAAAGGAAGGAGGAATTATTTCAGCTAAATGAATAATTCCTACAGAAGAGTTTTTCCAGAGTATCCAATCTTCTGTTCTAATGATATAATTTMTGTTCTCTGATATTTATATACCTTTCAAAACTTCTATTACTTTTTTAACCCTGTGGATTGTTGTGAAGCAGTGTTMTGTGAGCAGYYRTTAYTCATGGTGTKGGCTTAGTGAGGTCTGGGTGCTCTCACTTGTTGTTGGTGCTTTCTGTTTGAACAGAAGCACAGACACTTCCAAGATAAATGCTCCTGAGCTATTGTAAACTTCAGTTTCCCTGAAGASTGTTCTGTGAAGCTCAGACACTGGCTTTTGGCAATAGCAAACTCAGTTGCACGAATGTTTGCAGATGATACAAAGAAAAGGGGGGCAAAGAAAGTTGGAGGTAGTGGGGTGGAGGAAATGGTGTGCAGCGTAGACTTTAGCTCTTAAAGGGCTCTTTCTATGCTCAGAGATGTTTATTGTGCAGAATCTTCACATGCATCAAAGATTAAACAGGCAAGGGCTGGAAGGGTCACTGCTSTGTGATCTGTCTCTCAGAGAGCCTTTTCGGTCTTGTACCTGTTAGAAAGTGGTTCCTGTTCTTCATACCACTATTACCTGCTCCAGTAGGCAAGGAGAGTCTGGAATACTGTAGTGTATGTGTGATGGTTGTTCACTATGATTGTTTTCTTTTTGCTTCCCTTATTGATCTTAGGGCTCAAACTGCTATGTGYTAACTGACTTTCATTTTCACACTTTGCAAAACCAGGCATTTCACTGATGGAAAGCATTCCAGGCTGCTTTTGAGGACTACAATGTAATATATACTATCCAGTACCCACTTGCCCCTAAAAGCAATAGAGACATTCCTGTGTGGGTCTGCAGTTCTGAAAACATCTATTTATGTTGTATACCTCCCTGATTAGGAGGCAAATTTAGGGTTTATCTACTTGGGGAAATCCCTGTAAAATAGGTTGGGTGTGAATTTACAGCCTACTTAAGACCCAGAAGTAAATGCAGTGCAAATTCACACTTTAGCTTACTTCACAGGAACTCCCCCGCAGAAACAAACCCTCAGAGTCACCTCTGTACCTCAGTCTGGTGCTAAAAGTGAGTGGAAGCTTTTCAAAATGTGGGCCTCCAGTTCCATTTTTATAGCTGGGTTTTTCTGTCTCCTGGGGCTTTTTGCAGCTGCTGTAAATCAGTGTTGCTTTGCTGAGGTTGGAGAAGCTGGGCCACTTTGCACTACTCAGGATCTGACCCTTTGCCTCAAGTAACCTTTTATTATCAATTGGCCAGAGGGTATTTTCCTTTTTACTGGCTTCATTATGAAGCTTGTTCATTCACTCCCACCACTACCGATGGTTTTTTTTTTCTTTTTTTCTATTTTTCTCCCTGTGAATTTTATGTTGTGTCTTTCCTCCCATGTAATTTCCTAATAGTGAACTAGTGACAGAGTGGGCTGCTGGTATTTAATCTTGTGGCTGGAGAGGTCAGGGTGTTTTTGACACAGACAAATACTCCATTACAGTAAACTCACAGAAAGTTTCCTTTTCAACCTGAAAGGAGAAGGAAATGCACTCTCCACCAATGGGCTTTCAAGAATTACTTCTGTGAGCTGAACTTACACTAAAGGCCAGTTTGGTAATGTTCTGTGAGCAAGGGAAAAAAAAAAAAAAGAGGAAGACGTAACATTTTTTTCTTTCTCTTTTTGCTGAGATTTGGCTTGAATCTTGGCTCCTTATCAGATTAGAGTCCTGCAGGGAAAACAACAACCCCTTGCACTGTGAGTTGTTGAAGAAATGTACATTGCTGATGTCCAGCTAAAAGAGCATAAGGATTTAAACCTTCAAAGTTCTCTGTCTGCTTTGGGTGTTTAGGGAAACTTGCTACTTGACCAAAAGAACTAAATAATAAGGCAAATACGTAGCACAATACATTTCTTGCTGTACTGTAGGGCAAGACTAAAAAGACTGCCCCGTCTATTTTATGGCAGTTTAATTTAAATTTAATAGACTGCTGCAGGGTATACACAGGAGTCTAATCCTGTAATCCATGGATGGCTGTGTGTACGCAGTATTGCAGTGTTCCCTGTGCATGGAATAATTTGACATAAAATGTGCTTTCTGCTTCTCAAGGGAAAGGCAAATGTAACATAGTATTGTCTTGCTGTTCACTACTGTACTGAGTTGCCCTTTRTTAGAAAGGATTGAAGAAACAGGAAGTGCAAGTTAATAAATATTTATGTTCCAAACATGACATAGTATCATAAATCAATAATATTTCAAGACATTAAATTATTATTTCTGCTTAAATACTTGATTTGTGGCATGAGTTTGCTTAAATTTGTTTCTGTGGTAACTTGAGTTATTTTATGACTCTTTCTTCTACAGAAAATTTAGTATTGATTTGCTGATTTCCTCTTTAAATGCAGTCAAAAACCCTGTTTGCTAAATTAAGAAACCAATAAATGGAGTGAAAACATGCATTACCTTGCATTGCCTGAGTCTTTGATTTGTTGATTTTRACATGTGCTGTCAATTACTAAAACACGTATTTTTGTTGARTAGATACTCTTTCATTTTCCCAGCTATTCTGGCATTAAACCTGTATGAAAAAAAATAAGCTAAAGTGTAGTTAAAAGTTTGGTTAATTTAAGTGTGGGAGCATATTATCAGTTGAAAAATGTTATTGGAAAGATAACTTTGAGGTTGAAGCTGTTCTATTACTGGAATGAACATGGCAAGGTCATATGAAGACCAAGTGAAAAGAAAGTCAATTGATGTGATGTGTTGGCACACATTTGTGGTAGGTGTAAGTCACGACTGTTGCATACACTTGATAGTCTTCTCTCATCTTTCATAGACTGATTTGTATTATTTATGATACGCTTTTAAGGAAGAGACTTTGTCCTCCTGCTCCTCTTGGTTTGTGGTGTGTSTATCCAYAGCACATACAGAACTTGGTCTAGACAGGCTGGTTGGTTTGTCAGCCTTGGAAATAGCTCCCTATAGGGAGCTGTACAGGACAAACTGCTGTAAGTGGAGCTCTCAAAGCATTCAGCTTATATTGTATAGTAAGTACATTTCAGTTGTTGGCATACACTTCAATGTGACTGATCTTTTAAAAGCTGTTTGATGAGGGATGTTGTCGTAAGCACTGGGAGCCCAGTGAAGCAGTCTTTTCCTGGCTGCCTGATGCTGTGTGCTGACTCAGAAACACTTTTCCTTTCCACGTGTAGCTGACATAGTTGTTTGCTCTTCTGCCTCTGCCACAGGGTCGGTACAAGCTCAGCCAGATCACTATCCCTTTGCCATTGCAATCTCTATGCCAGATCTATGTTWAATGACATCACAATTACTCTGGTCAAAATTCCCAAGTAAAAAGAATASTTAGAGTTTTTCAGAGGGAGAACAATCCACAAGTCAGAGATCAACAAAGTGTTAAATGAAGGATGATGTATGTCACTTGCAGACTTCACACCTACAAAAAGTTTTGTCACAGCCTGACTGTGCTGTATTTCATCTAGCTACCTGCTTTATGTGTTTAGAATGGAAATGCACAAAATCCCATTCCCTCCAGGAGGTAAAGGGATATGTCACACCACACAGCTGGGTGTTTCMAACTTGATCCAGTACCTGGGCCTGTTCCAATGGGTCTTGAACTGCCCTCTCATGGGCATGGCAGAATGCTCACTGCAGAATGGGCAGCTGCTCCAGGACCACTGGAGCACAAGGTCTGTGCATGCAAATGTTGTGCCTCAKTATGATGTAGTGGATCTCTTGGGTCATTTCTGCTTCCTGGCAGTGCAATTCTTGCTGAGAGAAGCCTGGCAGCCAGCAGAAGCTTTGAAACCAGCAGGAGAGTCTGTCTGCTTCCCACTGGCAGAGCCTTTATCTTCCTCCCCCTTCCCCACCAGTGCAGCTTGGGCCCAAGCAGATCCTCTATGAAAGGGTTAAAAGTACTGCAAAAGCCAAGCCAAGAGTATAAATCAAAGCTATGTTGAAAGCATGAGGCTACAGGTGTTTGTCTGGACAGGAAGTTTCATGCAGGACACCAGGATCATGCAGAAGGAATCTCATGACCTTGTTTCCAAACCTGTAGATCAATGGTTCATTTTTTTTTCTGATTGAAAACATAGCATGTGAATTGTCAGTGGCCTTCATATTGGACAGATGTGTGATACACACAGACTGTGGCACACTTGGGTTTCATGTGGAAGAGCTGTTGACTTCTACAGGAATTGCCTCTTATGTTACTGTAATTAATATTAGTGTTTGGATTACTGCTTTCATTATGGCTTCGTATGGTTATTGTGTCAAGAAGCCACAGTCCGAGTTCCTTTTTCATTTGCCTTGACCACTGGATACATTCWAAAGTAAAGGCCATTCAGGTAGGCTGTAGCTTATCCTCCTTGAACTGTCTGAAGGTCAGGTCTGTARTCTAAGCAGCTCTGTGTGTCTCCCTCTTTACTGAAGGTGGCCAGAGTGATTCATTATGGATGTGGGAGAGTGAATCATGCAGCAACACTGCCTGTCTCTGCTGGTGATGGGGAGAGCCAGGATGATTAGCTGAGCCCAGGCATTAACTCTAGGCTAAAGGGGCATGGTTTTCTTGCTCAGAGCCAGGGAAGTGTGAGTTTGATTTCCAATTAGCAGTATTTAAATGCAAATGAGCATAAAAAGAGCCTGGAGTGCTGCATGTCTGCAAAGGCATCTGTTGCCCACAGACAGATCGATGTGCTGCAGATGCCTGAGCATCCTGCATGTGCCCAGAGCTCCTCTTTGCCATGTCTTCAGTGAGCATCTCTTGCACGGTGAGACAGAGGGAGAGCTTTCCTTCTGCTGACTCTACAGGGACAGCTGTAACTTGGGGCAGGATGTACATAGGCAGCTAGGTTGGACATATCTTAAACCCTAGCAGAGGGTGCTAGTAGAGTTCATCTATCAGAAACCTCACTCCTGGTTTTCTTATGCCAACAGTGTGTCTAGGTCAGTTAGAGGCTGGAGAACATAAAAGTGTGCTGGTGTGAAGATGCTCTGCACTAAAGGTTTGTTCCCCTTTCTGTGGGATACATMAACACCTCTTAGGTCAGTGTTGCTCATTCATTCACTGGGCAAAGCAGGGGCCACCTCAGAGTTAGAGACCTTTTATGTCATTAGCATAGTGTAAAAAAGGCATTCGTTGTAATCGAGCACTGGAATATAATGGAAGTTGTATCTTTACAGTTTCTGGAAGATCTCTCTTTCTCTGGGAAAAAGAGGGCTGCTGTGAGCCTTATTTCACTGTGATCAAGTTATTTCTGCTGGACAATATGAAAAACAAATCAGGGAGTCTTAGATGCCATATTTTGAAGAAAATGAATCTGGTTTCAGTGCAGCTGGATGTGGAAAGGTGAGGCCTAGCAACAGCTGTAGGATGCAATTATTCCAATTGTCCTTCTAAATATTTTTATACATATATAAATATGATCTTAGGTTATCTGATTTATCTAGTTCAGGCATGTTCTAGTGTTGGCATTCAAATCTAAGACTGTTTCTGGAGATACTCTGAATTATTTCATAATTATGAGAAATCCTGGGGAGGTATCTCAGTGTTTACAGAGGAGTATCTTGCTGTACCATGCTCCAGATATGTTAACCCAGCCAAATCTCCTTTTAGTATGTTATAGTTTAATTAGCTCTACTTCTTGAGTCATAATATACTTCTCTGGGGCTAAAGCACACAAACAYAAAAAAGACAAAATGTGAAATGTGAAGAAGTAATTGTGATCTTTGCCACTCAGATTTGGTGCCATCTGTTAACATGACTTCTTCTAAAGTCAGTTTCCAATTTGTTTGTTGAAGTTGCATGCCATGGAGAACATTTCYTTTCATTATGAAGCTGTGAGATGTAGCTCCCCTGAGATAACCATCCTACCAGTCTRAGATCTGGGATATAATTCTCTCCCGCTCAAAATTGTCATGCTTCTAGAAAGCAGCAGCACTGCTTACTCTAGCTGAGGATCTACCCCATAATGTCCATCAAGGGCAAATTCTTACTGGGCAGTGGGCCAAAATGTCATCCCAGAGGACCAGGTGCCAAGAAAACCTTGGCAGAGTTTCCCCAGATGTGCTGGAYGGATCTGGACTTCTCAGCCACAGATCCTTCTTTGCCTTCTCAAGAATATTACTTTACTATTAACTCAGTCTACTTACCCCTCTGTTAGAAGGGCTGATATTTCTGATTTTTCGTGCTCTTTTTCACTGTCTCTGTTGWCCAAAAACAAAGTTAACATCTTCTGATGCTTCACTATCAGCTTTTTGGAAGATTTTCCTCTCCTGTGCCCTTTTCCACATGTTGGTTASCACTTGTCATGCTTTTCTAATTATTCTCACAAGTGTGCTGAGTCATGGCACCGTGTATGACAACTCTCTCCTCTGTCACTGTTAACCAGCAGTCACATCTCACTCATCTTGACCTTATGTGCTATGAGCCTAATGGCAGCAAGCTAATGACAACAATTTCTGGTCCCATTTTCTTTCTGGGTCATGTGGTGATCAAGAAAGGGCAGAAGAGTACAAAGTAATTAAAGATATCAAACTCTCTCTTGTAACCTGCACAGAGAGTAACCACCATTCTCCTAGAAAAGGAACGGAGAATAGCAGCTCATGTCATTTGTGTAACAATGATTGCAAAAAGAATGGAAAACAGTACACTTCCCTCATGTCTTTTGCAGCTTCAGGAGGAGATGAATGACAATTTTTGGTTCCTTCTCCTCAGTTTGAGGGGTGGATGACTAATGTCATTGTGACTGATGCCATCTAATTGGCTCAAAAGAATTTTCTGGTAGTTCTCATGATTAGCATCACTTCCCATCATGTGCAATCCATTGGAGAGCAAAGACCTCCTTTTGAACTGTCATGGTATAAGAAGGTGTAAAAGTGCTGGGTTTCTGAAGCAATTCAATGTATATAAAGTATGTATGAATCAGTATTCTGATCTTCCTGTGCAGTAAGTCATGATGACTGATCTATTTCTACAGTTGCTAATTATATTATGTTAAAAAAAATACTTGGTGTTCAAGTGATTTCTATGCAAAAATTCTGTGAAATTGAAATTTTATGAGGGCTCGCCAGGAAAATATTACTGAAATACTTTGCTTTGAGTCAGTTTCTTCCATTTCAAAACAGTTTGTTGGGCTGGGTTGCTCTGTGTTACTTAATACGGAGATTGAGCCATTTGTGTGATCTGCTGTGGTATTTTTGGGACAGGAAACATTGTATTCTGATTATTTCTTACAGCCACTCCCACCTTTGTATTATCTAACCAAGGGTGTGTTGTAGTCTCCCCTCTTACCTACTGTAGTGCTGGATCATGGGAAAAAGCTTGGACAGAGAGGCTTGYTCTAGACAGATGAGACAAACTGATGTCAAACCAAAATTTTTGCTTTGGGTTCAACTCATTGAAATGAAGTTTCAATTCAGTATTGATTGTATTCTTCAGAATACTAGGTGTTCTAAAAAAGGAAGTGTTAATGAGGTTGGAAAWATGAATCTGCTTAAGAAAGAGATTTGGATTCCTGGACAGATAGTGGGACAGATTTGTCAGACAGTTGGTGTGGACCTAAATTGTAAAACAATTAAAAARCATAATTTCCAAGACTAATTAATGTTTAACTAATGTAATTTCTCCGTTTATAGGGCAACTAGTATGCAATAGRTATCATACAGATATTCAGATTTTGGTATATCTCTTGATCATGGCTTTCAACATYTTTCCTTCATTATATTCTCTGACTCAGCTACCAGTCTAACTCTGTTTTATCACCCAGATTTTATTTAAYCCAGTCAATGTTGTCTGGTTGGACAAATATGTTCATGAGGTGATAAAGAGAAGAAACACAGCTCAAGTGTTGGGAAAATGTTCTCTAATTGCATGAGTAGTAAAACCATGGTGCAGATTACTTAGGGAGAAAAGTGGAATGTTCTTGTCTAAATTTTTGCTAGAAACAGTGTAAATGTTTTTCAAAGATGGTCTAAATTATTTATTCTGTTTTAGAGCAAGGAAAGAAATTAAATAATCCCTCCAGATCGCTTCTAGGCATGGATTTTTAAGGTTCTATTAATCTTAAAGATTRAGGGCACTTTGGGGTCTTTTAAGATCACTGCTTCTCGGGCGGGGTCAGGACAAGGATAGACATTGTACTGTGAACATTTTCCTTAGGGCAGGTGTTCATACAAGTACAAGTTTTGGGTTTTACTGAAAAGAATTATTCTTTACCTGCTTTGCAGGCCTTCAGACAAGAATGCCCAAATTCCCACMTTGAAATCCTGTACATCAGACCAGTATAAGCATTCCTGGAAGCGACAACAGATTATGTGAAAATGTTAAAATGTTTTTGCATAAACCTAATTTTTATTGAAGAGTTGTGCTCCAGTGATGAGGAACAAAGGAARGACATGTGATAGAAATGTGCAGTGTAAACAGCTGAGACTGCTCCTAGAAATTTCACTGGGTTTTAATTGGGTAACAGATCATGAACTGTATTTGKAAAGATTATTCAACAGTTTCAAAAAACACAAATATCTAAGAAAACTGTGCCTTTCTGGAGGCACCTGGCAAACAGATAAAGAACTGAAGTTCATTAATAGATGAATGTCTTTGTCTGAGATAGCCACATAAAACCCATGCTGGCTTCAAGCAGGTGGTGTGGTCAGACTGAAGGAGAGTGRGGTGGTCTCTTGGCCAGATTCTGGCCTGACTTCAATCTCACACTGATGTGTTGGTGATTTTGTTGTCCTTTTTTCTGCATGGTGACCACATGGCCACTCTCTGCAAAGCCCTAACTTGCTGGTGATAGCCACAGAACTTCTTGGCCCTCACTGCTTTCTTCCAGAGTACCATGTCCTTGCTACATGGATTATTGTTGCTTATGAAGCAGGGTCTGATTTGTAAATTAAAAACTTTCAATAATTCTGTGTCTTTTATATTGAATTACAGAAGTACTGAACTAACTGACTGCATGGATTTGCAACCAGCAGCTCAGCAGCTGCTTCATGAACCATCCTTGCAGGAGGGGAACATSAGAAAGATGGGTGAGTTGGATGCTGAGGAGTGGGAATTGGTCTAGTCATCCCAAGAGAAATCCTCCCCATTTGTGAGTCAAAGCCTGCTATATCTTGCCTGAGATGAAGGGAATCTCCCAAGGGCAGCTTATCTTACACCATCTCAAACGTCTCTGATATTGGGTCAATAGATACTTCTAAAAGTGCATTCAAACCTCATTCAAATTCCCATACAGCTCTAGCCCAAACACAAGCCAAATCATGATCCAAATAACCTCCTCCTCAGCCCACCTTCACTGCCGTTCTGTTTCAGTGGCAAATGCAGCATGGAAAAGATGCCTGAATGCTTAATTCAGAAATTTACTGTTTAAGGCATTACTTGTATGAACACCAGCGTAACACATAGAATACCAATGCCCTAAATTTAGTAGTTTAGTCTGAGTCATTTTCACTATGTGGGAGGGCTGTGAAGACACTCCACAGAGGGGAGAAACTTGCTGGTGGTGTCTGTCCAATGAGATTATTTTTTTAAAAAAGTCAGAACACAGCAGAACTACAGATATGTTTGTGAGTAAAATGCAGTTTAGTTGCAGACTCCAACATAGGAGAAGGGCAGTGTTGCTCTCCACCCACTTCAAAAGCTGAAGGCAGGTTTGACTGATACGTATCTCTGACACTGAAATAGGTGCAGAATTTTTCATGACAGCAGCACACAGACAGAGGTAAACACTCTGGCTGCGTGATTTGGAGGGACATGGTGTGATGTAATCCCCAGATTTGTCTGTGCCATTGCATCTTRTTTTCAGATCTCCTAGCAATAGCAGCTGAGTTGATACAATCCTACATGTCACCARCCAKTAGGCAAAAGTTATCCCTGGGTTCRTTCACTGAGGGTTGAAATGTTGTCCCACTGAAGATCAGGTGACTTTTGCCACATAAATCATCCAGCAGGGCTAGAGGTACACACAGTCTTTGAAATARATGTGGGCACAAGTCATTAGGTGTGGATGTGAAGGAGACATTTAGACTTGGTATTCTGAATTGGTAACACCTTCCTGCCAGTCTGGGTTTTGTTCTTGTTCCATTAGCCTTTCTGCATAAATGCAGCTGATTTGAAATTGATATGAATTTAGCAGTTCCATTTTGGAGATTCTTCCTGGGACCCTGTGGCATGAAACTGCTCCTCTCCTCAAATGAAAACCTAACTTCAGTATTTTATTTTAGCCAGAATTGATCATGTTTTTATTCTGAATGAAAGTTAGTTCTAGCTCAACCCCTGCTCTCTGTGTTGCAAGATGAAGCAAGCAGAGATGAAGGRTGTTTTCATGCACTGTATCCTGTCTGATATCAGCCACGGCAGATTTGTAAACATACTCAGGCTTGACCCTATACCCTGAGTCTCATGAGTGGTGCCACAGAGTTCAGGGCTCTGCTCACACAGACTGGAGGATTGGTTGTGATRTGTTTAATGCCAATGAGATGAACTCTGTTCCTAGAGAAACTCCAGTAAAATCAAAAGCTTGTTAATAGGAAAAATAGTTAGCTGCTATCCTAAACAAAGCAAAATGCCAAACAGAATCCTGCTCTGATATTTGTTCCCATGCCAGCATTTAGCTGCCAGGAAAGACCAGTCTTATAAACATGAAATTATATCCATGGCAACACGCAAGCCATGTTTAATTTTGCAGCATGTTAAAAGGTACATTAAAAAAAAAAAAAAAAAAGGATTTTACTGTTGAGAATAGCAATTATGACTTTTAAGTCAGCTATTTTAGCTCAGTCAGCCTGAGAGCTGTTGAGTGGTGAGGGTAAGGGCCAGAGACATAGCTCGTTCCTCAGAGCACTTGTTGCTAGACATTTCCAGAAGGTATTATTGCTTAAATACAGCTTGTGTTTTCTTTACCCAGATTCCTTGAACAAGGAAGATATGGCAGGTTGTGATATTGGACTGCAGTGAAGTTCCACCTGTGCTATTCTACCCCTCATGAGCAAGCAGTGCTGGGCTATGCAGCTGGCATGAGCGTGCCCTTTTTGGGTAAGTAGTGGATTCAAGGAGCCTACCTAGTGGTGTAGCATCCTGGGATTATAAGCACCCTGCTCAGGTGCTGTTTAGTGACTCCTGCATCGTGCTAGAAAGCAGACATTGCTCACAGAGTGGGAGAGCAGCTGAAGTAGSGAGTAGACTGAATTAGTGTCTGGGCTTGAAAATGTATTGGGAAAAGTAACAGAAAGATCCCAACTTGGAGCAAAAGCTGAAGCTGAAAACTGCAGATGGTTTTCTTGTCTGTACGATAATGTCAAACCCAAAAAAAGGGAGTTTTCACACTCTGTTGTCTGTTTAGCGCAAAGTGAAAATTATGTACTGGAAAATGGAGCCCCGTGTCTGGAGAAAGCAGCTCTGACTGTGCCTATACAATACCATACAGGGCTCTGTGCAAGTTGGGCTTGACTGCTTTTGCAGAGGTCTCTGAAGCCTTGCTTGCTGAGGAATGAAGGGAGGGAAAAAGAGCAATGGGATGTGTCCTCAGTAGTGTTTATTAGCATCTGCATGATAATGCTGTTCAGTGAATTGTTCTAGGAATCACTTCTAAAAATCATCTCTAAGGGCAGCAGAACAGCCCATGCTGGTTGTGAGGGCACTGCCAGAGGTCACAATGGTTACAGCTACAGGATTCCACAAGGCATGGTGGAAAAGAAGAACATGATGTTCTGGCAGCTACTGTCATGTGTGTCTTGAAGCAAAAAGGGCTGGTAGATGCAGTAACCTGAGTGGCTCTGAAAAGACAGTATAATCTTGGAAGAACACACATATATTTGCTGTCTTCCTGTAGCTATTATGGTTCTGGTTTCTCTGTTCTTTTTTCTAGTGCACTGAAGTGAGGCAGAGATGCTCAAGGTGCACTTTGTATAGAAATTTAACACCACATGTATTAGCATGTACCTCTCTTTACAGAAGTGTAGGGATAACATATCAGTTCAACCTGTCTCCTCACTGTTTAGGAGAGCCTCAGACCTGTCTCTAGCTGGACAAGGAGGGTTGGGCTGTGTTTTTTCCACTTTAGTAAAGGTGGATATAGGCAGTGTGTTCCAGCAGGAGGAATGATTTGGCACTGTGCCTCAGATACCGGAGGCGCTGTGCTCAGCCTGGGGAGGAGAAATGCCTGAGGTGCCTTGCCACTAAACTGTCTGCATGCTGGTGTGAGGGGAGAGAGATGAAGCACCAGGCAGTGCCAGAATAGCAGCCTGGGGGCCTGAATCCACAGTAGCTCTTCACGTGGGACTTTAGTKAGAGTTGCCTGTTCCATAGTCTTTGAAACACTTTATCTTCAGGTGCCTAAAATAAAAGTCTAGGAGCCTGAAGTACGTAATTGTGAGAAGAAAATTACTTTTGTTTGTGGGAAGTTCCATGAAAGGACTTCAGGAGTCTTTCTGGGGTGAACTTTGGATTCTGCCTTGGGTGGTGTTGTCCCTTGTGGAATATGCATTGCTCAGTCTGTAGCATTGTCAGGACAAGGGATATTGCTATATCAGGCCTGTAGGTGCTTTGACCTTTGCTCTAGATCCTAGCTCTAGTCATGCAACTCTTCTACTTTTGCAGGATGATAGTATCTTTAGACCTGTCTGCTGGGCTCTTCCTGCTTTCATGCTGAAGAGTGTGTGGGAGAAGGTGGCCAGGCATGTAGTGTTGGAATGACCTTTTACTGATGSAGGCACAGTGGTGTGTGTTGCCAAGGCACTCCAGCAGTGGATGCTTCTATTTCAGCAAAGCTGGGCCTTCTACTGCTTGGTCTTGTGGGAGCAGGAGAGAAATGGTTCTGCAGAAGGCTGGGTTGGAGGGCAGTGGGGTGTGTGACTCTCCAAGGGGGAGTGCAATGTGAGCTATGGGTTTCATCCCTCACATGCTACTGTTCATAGCAAACCTGCAAAAGTCAGTTGGGCCCAYGTAGCTGGGGTGTCTTCTGCTGCTGTCACTTCTGCATGGGAATACCTCATTTAGCAGGTCCTTGAGCATTGGCTAGAACTGGGACATCTGTTGGGACACACAGGACTCAGAGACCCCACTAACCTGAGGACTTTCCCCTAACCTTAAGCAGACCTTAGGAAATACCTCCAGCCCTTGGATTCTGACCTCAGACCAAATGCCTGTCAAGTATCTTCGAGGGGAATTCAGTAGAATTTTCCTCATKTCATCATTAAGTGCCTGCTGGTGGGCTCTTGTGTTGAAGAGCCAACAGGATCCACTGAAAGGCTATTTTTCCATGAGGGTAACTTCAGCATACTGGTGTCAGCTATGGTGGGTGTCTACTGAACCAAGAGTGTCAAAGCCAACATCTAAAATGACCTTTAGGCTGTTTACTCAAAGCAGTAACAGACTCGCCCCCGACTTCCTGATAAGGMCATCACTTATCAAGAAATAAGAAGAGCAAGTGGCTAGATATGGAAATCATTGTGGGAGTGAGCTTAATTGAAAACATACAGCATTGTACAGAAGTAATACTATACACCAGAAACCTTTGCCTCTTCTGTGGAATATGGATATAGAAACAAGAGAATTACCAGGTATTGGGGAAAAGTTAATTCCAACACCAATAGAAAGCCTTTTCTTGGAGAGACAGATGTAAATAATTTAACTCAAGTGTCTCCTTGTGCTCCACGATTCCGTTTCCTAGCTATGCAGTAAAGTATCAGAAATCAACAATTTTCATCTCACTTCAGTGAGAGCAGTCTAAAGTAAGTCAAGAGATTAGGTAGACACTAAAAATTCAGTAAGATCTTAATTTAAAAGTTAGTTAAGCAGAAAGCTAAGTACCAAATAGAAGCCAATGAGTCTGGTTTCCACTCTAATTTAGAAAATTGAGTTCCTTCTTACAAAAAAGTTTCTTCATAATCGTAAGACAAGTGTATACTTTAATTCATGGTTTAGAAAGTGCTTGGTATTTTAATGGATTTACCTCATTAAGCCATATTGTAGCATTTCACCATCTCAATCTAAACTTTCTTTTAGCTAATGTTCACCTGATTTAGTTGTTTTTTCTTTTAATTAATTTTTATTACTAGTTTTTATTTGGGGTCAGAATAGAAACACCATCTAATCTCACTTTTCTGTTTGCTAGAGAATGTCTAGACTGGCTAGCATGAGGGTTTTCATCCTGGAAGGTTTTAGTAAGTTCCTTCTCCACTTGGTATATACGTCACATAAGTACTGAAACTGAAAGTTTCAGATGCGATACAACACCTAGTAATAAACTGTTTCAACTTTTTTTTTAAGGGGAAAGAAATACCATCTTTTGGCAGTGTTTCCTCTCAAACCTCAGAGACTTGCTGATCTGCTGTGTAGATCTGTGCTGTGGTTGCAAAGTATCAAAACAGAACTAAGGATTTTTATATCTACGCTTCCCACCCAGCGCTCACAGCTCCTTCCCCCTTCCCTGTCTGTCGGGTACTTTCTGAAGGCGTTGAGGAGACAGGAAGGGAAAGGACCCAGAACTGACCATTGGAACAGATAAATGGACAACAGTGCCAAAATTGATCCTCATTTCTTTAGGAATGTAGCCTGAAAATGCCTTGGTAATTAGAATRGATTGTGAATATTTTATTTCTTGAGAAAAACTGCAGGTTTTTTGAGCGGGGGTGAAGAAAAGCAGGGTAGAAACAACTGGTTTTCATGTCAGGTTAAGGAACTTGCAAGTGTTCAGGGCAAATGGTCTATTCTCTTCCTTAAACTCTGAGCCTTTTTTAATGTGAATGATGTTTTTTTGTTTTCTTGTGCTGTTGTGATATGTCATGGGAACATTTGGCAATGATGCATGTTAGACATGGAGTCCAGTTGCAGCTAATGGGCCATGAAGGATAATGACATCCAAACCAGAACTCCAGTCAAGTCACTGGGATGTTCAATTTCTTATCAAGTTTTGAAGTTTTCTTTGCAATTTTCTATGCAAAGCAGGCACTTGGAGTGGAAAAGGTCATTTTGATAAAAATCCAACTTTTCACTAAAATCAGTTCTCTTCAGCACCCTGTCCCAAAATCTGTTATGTTCACAGTGTTCCAGAACAGCCTTGCCATCTGTCAGAAGCATTTTTAGGTAACAAATTATTCAACCTAACTGTGCCCTATCTTTACCACACCAGTTGTGTTGTCTTTGAACTTCCTTGGGATAGATAAGCCTGAGGCTCACCAAAGCCAGCAAGACTCTCCAGACACCAAAGGGGAACCTCTAGAGCCTGGAAATAGAAATGTCCTGAGGACATGGGTGTTTCTGAAGCACCAGCCATCTCCTGAGTAGGGGATGTCTTTACCTACTGCTGCAGAAAGCAAGTGTGTTCCAGCACGGAGGTAGTGCTGTTCCAGAAAGGAGCGTATGTCTTGCTCTCCCTTTAAAATGGATCCTCTTTTGCATATTGTGTATTCTGGTAGGAGGTGGGAGGTCACACTCAGACTCTTCCTGACAAGATCCAAATTCATATTATCCACCCCCAGTTACTGCCTAAAACATATGAAAAGTTCTCAGATAAAGGATTCTTCTCTTTCAGCCATGTGTCCTAATCRCTAGGCTGAGGATTCAGCCCTCTTAGGATCAAAGCCTGAATTTTTGYTGCAAGATGTCAGCAGGTTTAGAGGGGAGTCCCCCTATCCAAAACCCTGTGGTTAAGGCCTTTCTTGAAGAGGTGAGAGACAAGTGCTTGAACCGATGAATGTGTCTCATGCTTCTTTTCAAGAGCATGCTAATTACTTGCTGCGATATGAGAAGCAGACGGTGYTGCCACTGTAAATTGGATCCTCAGGCTGGGTTTGAAGCCCCGGCAGCACTGGGTCAGTGTGCTCGCGGCTGTGCTGCCTCCAGCACGGGCTCTCAGGCTGGAARTGAGTTCTGTCAGCTCTGAGGCTGGGGAATATCCGGGGCAGGCAGGGGGATGTGGGAACAGTTAGAGGGTACAGGCAGCTCTGGTGGGGGGCAGAGAGGAAGCCTTTTCTAGCCACAGTTCGGGACTTTCCCCAGATGCTGAGTTGTAAATGCAACATGTCACTATGAGA